AACAGAATGCTGGAAATCAGGGGTAACACCCTTAATTGACAGGATCGCCGAGATCTTTGATGCAATTATTGACAGCTCCATAAATTCTTCAAATAACAGTTGCTTCTCCTTTAGTAGGCTCAAAATGAGATGGACTCTTTGATCCTTGGTTAACCTCATTTTCAAAACGGACGAAGATGATTTGAAACAAGTTTTTGAAGTGTGAAGAGATATTTGAACGTTCGAGCAAGATTGAGCCATGGAATCATTTGAAGGATACTGAAGTTGAGCAAAGAAAGCAAGAACACACTTTGATAGACTTTGAAGTTTTTGCAAGTCCCCTAATATGAATCTTAGTCAAGAATGTAAGAACACAAAATATTGTTAACAAGAAAAGTATTTGATCAAGGCAATCATCATGTATATTGAATATCAAAGATTGTTTACAATTGAATATGATGAGAGAAATCTATACAATTGAAATATCGAATATATTTACACAATTTAACCAACTCCTATTTATACTACAACAGGAAAGATACAATTACATGATTTACATGACAAGCTAATTACACATTTACACGTGTTCTACTATCATAGAAGTATTCGTTTCTGAGAAGCCTTTGATCTGAAAATCTTCTATCTCTAACTCTGAATTGATCATTCAAAGTTAATCTCCTAACTCTGAAATACAACTCTTTAGAGTTATGACTTGGTTGGTTTCGCTATTAATCTGAACTCTGAAATCTGAACTTCTGGAGACAACTCTTCAGATTTACCACTTAGACATTTTTGTTCATCTTCCGGACTCTAAATTCTGGGATTCCAGATCTCCGAAGGCAAGTTTTCAGAGATAACACTTGGAAAATTTTGAAGCAATCTTGTATCATTTCTCAGGTAATTCGTTCCTCCATTAGTCGAGAGGAGTAGTAGTGTTGACTTTGTCATCGGACAACCCTTGTCATCGTTCCTCCATTGGACGATGTTTCAATTCCTTACAAGATATACTTGTCGGATTCAAGCACTTGTTTGTAACTACATTGATTCAACACATTACGGGAAACCAAATTCTTCCTAATTGCTGCTACAAAGAAAACACCAATAAGACCAGAGTAATTGTTTTCCATAAATATATTTCAACACGACATTTCCATATCCAAGGATAGGAACAGTTGATTCGTTGCCCATAATTAGCACGGATCCATCTTGCATTGGTTCGTATATCGTAACCATTTGCTGTCCTTGCAAACATGACTAGTAGCGCAATAGTCAATCCACCAAGCAACATCCTCATCCTGCACATAAAATGCATAAGAAGTTAGTGGTACATAATTCTTAACAAAATTAAAACCAAGGTAAAAAAAATCTGATGTTGATGTGGATGATGGTCTTTTGACCTCCCCCCCCCCCCCGGCACGCATGTTCGAAACCACTTATGTTTGCTTCATTGTTGTTCTTATCAACACAACATCATTTATGCAATTTTAATCTAATCAACCGACATGATGGTCAATCGGAGGCAAGAAAACAAGTGGAAGAACAATTTCATGAAGATAATGTTAATTATCTTGACTGTTATTTATGATTTATGTTAGATAATTAATTAAAATTGGATAAAAATGATGTTGTTGATGCAATTATGAGAGTATAAGTACATAATTGGTAACTCTTTTTGTTTTAGTATGCGAGTGAAAAAGTATGAAAGAATAATRATATTTTTATCCATCGAGGAGCCCGATAATCCATTTTTCATATAATTGACAAATCTCCCTGATACCATGGGGACTATTGCAGAAAGTGATAAATAAAGTTGGTCATATTTTCCATGACAAAATATGGTTGCTGCATAGTAATTTACAGTCACTTGTATTCCTGGCAAACAAAACAAAACAGAAGCCTCTATCAATCATCATGGGTTCAAAAATCCACGACAATATATATATATATATATATACACACACACACACACACATAGGTAGGGGTTCAAATGAGAACACCCCTGTTTTACAAAAATGCGAGAACACTTATGGGTCTCCAAATTAATTAACCCATAATAAAAATTAGAATGGATGAAAACAAATTAGTATTTATCAACAATTTTCAGCTATCTTAGATTTGTCTTTATCCCTTAAATGTTGTTATCTTCATTGAAGACTTCTTATGCCGATGCCTTCATTGTCGATAATGATGTGATAATAATGTGATAATAATGTGATCATGCTTTAATAGATCGAAGACTTTATATGATATGATTTTTCTCTGATAATGATGTGATTTCGTTGCAATAATGATGTAATAATGCTTTGAAAAAACGAAAACCAGTGATGATCATATCCACAATCATCGGCTCTGTCCAATATGTGATTTGCAGTTTTTTCCCATTTTACCCTTGCATGCCATCAATATTYYTAMAAAGAGGTAGTACATATTTATTTAATATTTTACTGCTCCCTAAATCTTTCTAAAACCGTGACTTAGAACAKAATGGTGGGCTTACAAGTYCATTTGCGTAAATCACAGGTGTTCTCGTTTGAACACTTCCTTTTATATTTATATATAAGGCSATTTAATATATTTAATGTTAATCYTTCGGAAATTACATGATTWTCCAGAGCAAATATGCTCTCCATTGTTCATTGTACAAGATTCCGGTTGCACAACGTTGTTCTCAATTTGGTGTATCATGCTATTACTACAGCTMAATGATCATCTCCATGTTGCTGCTGCTATGCTATATTTATACKTGTTTGCCATSTTTTTCGTTTTMTTCTCTTATTCAGTTCCATCAAATATGATGGTGGGTAATTCTCGACCTATCAATGTTAYAGTTTGCAGGATGAMATGTTTCAAAAGTTCAACTTTGACACTGAATGGGCTGTGAAACTCATATCAAGGATTACTAATGACGAGGATGTACCAATTGAAGGTGATTCAATTGTTGGACAGGTGTGATTTCATAGTTTGGAACACTAAAATACTTGTTTATTCCTTATTCAGCCTCACTCAGATTTAGTTTTACTATCCGTATAGTTCAATATATGAATTCTTTTATTTTGTTTTATTATGTTCCTCTGCATGCCTACAGGCAGATTGAAGGTAATACATATCCATGAGATATATATATATATATATACATACACATATATATCTGCGTATACCTACTCCTATAAAATTTGATTAGGAAACTAACTTCATTAAAACATCTGTAAAATATTTAACATCGAGGTAATTTAGTTTCCTAGTTTCTTATAAATTAGGAAACAAATTCCTAACTTTGTGGGAATGTTCAACAGGTAGTGAAAGTAGACTTAAGTATATTCAGTTAGGAAGATGGAGACAACGTGATAAATACCCGAGGAGAGAGAGAAAGAAAGGGGGATTTAATATCCATGAAATTGGCAAGTGCCTTTGGAGAGAACCAACCTCTCGAATTGCTGGAATTCATTGTAATCATTCAATTTTGGCAAAGGGAGTTGGAAATTCAAGTATTGTGCATCAGGATCTCCATCAGATCATTCACTTCACGCTCCATCTATTCAACACTTTCATATTTGGTAGATTAAACTGACATCCTGACACAAACAAGCATGGATCCTGATACGTAATCGGAGTGATTACGTCTTACTTTGATTAATATGAACGGCTAAAAATGGTTACAAATGAAAGAAAGGGAGAAGAAATTCCCTCCTCACAGCCAAGAGCTATGATCCTAACAAAAAGGTTGTTATACTGCCTGCCTTCCCTCTCCCACACGACCTTATTTTACAACAAGAACTTAACTAATTCTCTTTATGGGCATTGGGCCGTCTAGTGTAGACTTTCCAAGTAGTGGGCTTAGAAACACTTTGGTCTAAAATTTCATCGTTTGGCTCTCCTTCAAAAATGGTCTTGTCCTCAAGACTTGCATCAAATTGACTACGAATAGTAATCGCATCCTCCCAAGTGGCCTCTTCCAAAGAACGACCTTGCCACTGAATAAGCCATTGAAGCACAGTTTCTCCTTGACGGACGTAAGAACGCGTAGCTCGAATGGCCTCCGGAAACAATTGATCTGAAACATCCAAATCAAATTCTGCAGGCAAGGAGGGTTCCACCGAAGCACCTTGGACAACTTTCTTTAGAAGAGAAATATGGAAGACTGGATGAACCTTGGAGGAAGGAGGAAGCTGTAAACGGTAGGCGACCGGACCAACCTTCTCCATGATCATAAACGGGCCATAATAGCGAGGTGCCAACTTTTGATTGATTCGTTGAGTCACCGAAAGTTGTCGATAGGGACGTAACTTGACATAAACCTGTTCGCCGACTTTAAACGAAATGTCACGTCTTTTCTTGTCAGCTTGTGTCTTCATGAGGTGTTAACGCCTCATCCCTATCTTTTAACTCCTGTCCGACCACCTCTACACGGACTTCTCCGGGAATAAATTGCGTTACACAGTGGTTTACGACCATAAACAACTTCAAAGAAGTAATCCGGTTGATCCGTGAAACGAAGAATTATACCAAAATTCAGCCCATGATACCCACAACGACCACGAACGGGGTTGATCAATGGCAAAACAACGTAAATAAGCTTCCAAACAACGATTTATAACCTCTGTCTGTCCGTCCGATTCGGGATGGTAAGAGGAACTCATGTGCAATTGGGTTCCTTGTAACCGGAAAATCTCCTTCCAGAAATGACTCATAAACAAAGGATCCCGATCACTTACAATGGATTTTGGTATCCCATGAAGCCGAATGATCTCGCGAACAAAGATATCCGCAATGTTTCGGGCTGTGTATGGGTGTTTGAGAAGAATAAAATGATTATACTTAGATAGTCGATCCACCACAACTAACACCGCGTCAACACCCTTGGACTTAGGCAATCCCACAATAAAATCCATTGATAAATGCTCCCATATAGCTGCTGGAATTTCCAACGGCTGCAGTAAACCCGCTGGAATTAACGAGCTCGATTTACATCTTTGACAGATGTCGCATTCCTGTACAAAACGCTGTACTGTAGTGGTCATGCCTGGCCAATAAAGATTCGCCGCTAGACGCCGATAAGTTCGGTAGTATCCTGAATGTCCACCAGTAGCTAGCTGTTGTATGGAATTCTTGCCACAATGCCGGAAGCCACTTGGAATTTCGTGAAATCACTAATCGGCCTTTATGGTACAAAATACCTTTATGAACCGTGTATCCAGGATGAGAAAGAGGATCTTGTTGGCAGTCTTTGATTAACTGCCGGATGATATTATCCGATTTGATTTTTTCCAAAAGCTGAGCACCTTGCACCCAAACCGGCTGATAATTCATAACCTTCATTTCCCCTTCATCGTCACGTCTGGATAAGGCATTAGCAGCTTTGTTTTCTTTCCCGCCTTATAACAAATATCAAAATGATATCCGAGAAGCTTGGCGACCCAATTTTGCTGATCGGAAGTGGTAATACGTTGATGTAAGAGATGTTTGAGACTCTTATGATCCGTATATACCACAAAGTTAGTTCCCAACAGGTAACTTCGCCAATGCTGGACAGACAGAGCCAAAGCCATAATTTCTCTTTCGTATGCCGATTTTGCAAGGTTCCGATCACGAAGCGCCTTACTGAAAAATGCTATAGCCCGGTTTTGTTGCATCAAAACTGCTCCGATTCTTTGACCCGAGGCATCACATTCAACCACAAACGGAATCGAGAAATTAGGTAAAGCGAGCACCAGAGCACTGTAATGGTTGTCTTTAAAAAATCAAAGGATTGCTGAGTCGAGTCATTCCAATAGAAATTATCCTTAGTCAATTCGGTCAACGGTTTGGCAATAGAACCGTAATTTCGAACAAACGATAATAACCCGTAAGTCCCAGAAAACCCCGAACACCCTTAACTTGTTTCGGAGTAGGCCAATCGATCACAACTTGAACCTTCTTGGGATCCATGGAAACGCCCTTCCCACTGATGATATGGCCAAGATATTCCACCGAAGACTGACCGAAAGAACATTTCTTCTTATTTACCACAAACTGATGAGTCAAGAGTATGTTCAACGTGGCGACGAGATCACAGATATGTTGCTCCCAAGTTGGGCTATAAATTAAAATATCATAAAAAAAAACCACGATAAATTTTCGTAAGTGAGGACGAAAAATATCGTTCATGATAGCTTGAAACGTAGCGGGAGCGTTGGTGAGACCAAATGGCATTATGAGGTACTCGTAATGCCCATCGTGTGTTCGAAAAGCTGTCTTCTCCACACTTTCCGGCTTCATTCTAATCTGGTTATACCAGACTTCAAATCCAACTTCGTGAAAAAATTGGCGCGCGATAATTCATCTGGAAATTTATCCGGTACCGTAACCTTATTTAACGCTCTATAGTCAACACACATTCGCCACGTTTGGTCTTTTTTACGAACCAAAATCACCGGACTAGAAAACGCACTATTGCTTGGCCGAATGACTCCCAAGGACAATAGCTCTTGAACCTGTCGTTCAATCTCTGTCTTGTGTGCGTGTGGATAACGGTAAGGCCGAACACAAACAGGACCTTGATTAGGCAGGAGATTAATGTCATGATCTTTGCTACGGGTAGGAGGTAACCCCGTTATCTCATTGAAAGCAGGAACAAAATCAAAGAACAATTGTTGTAATTGTTGTGATCGTTGCTGGGACAACAAGGGCGAGAGTCTAGAAATGTTATCAGCTGAGTGATCATGCGAATCCAATAATGCCTCAGTATTTAGTAACCAGCTTTGTAACGAAGCATGGCATGATGACGAAGAACTCCCTTGTAAACAAACCTCCTGGCCGTGGTGCCGAAACTTCATTGATTGGGACTCCCAATTGTGAACGACATCTCCCAGGGTTCGTAACCATTCAATTCCCAGAACCATATCCAGATTTCCCATATCGAATAACAACGCATCAATAACAAATTCACAAGTACCCATCGTGATTAACACCCCAGCACACTTTTTAGACACAAAAACCTTGTGTCCATCGCCTAATTTGATGTGTAACCCGGAGAACGACGAAACCGAGATATTCAAGGCATTTGCTAAACGAGAAGAAATGAAATTATGAGTAGCACCACTGTCCACCAGTATGACAATCGGAATTCCATTTAACAGCCCGTTCAGTTTGACCGTATTTAACGTAGATCTGGAAATGTCACCTGTGTTCATAAACTCGATAACCGAGCACTCACCAATTTCTCCTTTCGTAATGTCCAATGTTTCCTCCTCTTTTATCAGATTAACCGTACGAAGGTCACCCTCGATTTCTGATTCTTCATCATCAGCTAACAAAATCACACGAAAATTTGCTTCGGGACACTTATGTGCAGGTCCAAACTGTTGACCGCACTTAAAACATAACCCCTTCTTCCCACTCCGATCGAGTCAACGTACGAGAGCCACGATAACGAGCAGAAGAATTCTGTGATAAATCGTTCTTCAAGGGACCAGCTACTGTTGACATAGAAGGCGCCCTAGAATTTTCAGATCGTATGGAGTGTCTACGATCAGGCCCAACATTTCCAGGCATATGGGCCTTAGGTGCTCCTTGGCCCACTAGACCAAAAGGCAGTCCAGATTGGTTTTTTTCACTTGAAGAAGAATATCGATCATTTGAAGAAGAGTATCAATAACGGGAAATCAAAGCTGAGTTTTCAGATGGATGCAGGATCTCCTCATCCTTCGCTAAATACATCGCATCCAAACGATTCTGAGGACGATGAAGGCGAACCCATCGCCTCACCTCCGGTTGCAGTCCAGCCAAAAAATACCCTAGAGCTTGAGATTTGGGCAAACGAGGAACTAGGGAAAGCAAATACTCAAAATCATCTATGTAATCATGGATCGAATTTACCTGTCTGATGGTTGACAACTGCTCATACGGATTCTGGATCTCCAGTCCGCTAAACCTCTGTAACATCTCCTGTGTCAATTTTTTCCATGTCAAATCTCCATGGATCTCCTTGACCACTGTAAACCAGTGTTGAGCTACTCCCGACATACTAATTTGAGCCAGTCGCGTTCGAAGATTTTTGGGAGTCTCATGAATTTCAAAGTACAACTCAGCCTTAGCAATCCATCCACGAGGATCGAAACCAGCAAATTCTGGAAGTTTGATCTTCTTCGCCGCATAGTGTAGACTCTGTCCCGCTCTCTCCGAATTGACGTTACCCGGAAATAAACCATCAGAGTCTGTTTGAGAACCTCCTGCTTCGTGATGCTTACCCTGCTGCTGTTTCACCCAACTCAACATATATGCCCAACATTCCTTTCGTTCTGTCTGGTCTTCCTTCATAGTTTCCAGGGACATTTTTATTCCCTGAACATCTGTTTGCAGCTGTTGAATATGTTCTTCGTGATTCTCCAATCGGCCATGAAGACGAGTCTCCATCGAATCCGGCAGGTCGGACCAATGATACGTAATCGGAGTGATTACGTCTTACTTTGATTAATATGAACGGCTAAAAATGGTTACAAATGAAAGAAAGGGAGAAGAAATACAATCCACAGAAGGATCCCAGGGAAGTAATTTACTCCTCACAGCCAAGAGCTATGATCCTAACAAAAAGGTTGTTATTCTGCCTGCCTTCCCCTCTCCCACACGACCTTATTTTATAACAAGAACTTAACTAATTCTCTTTATGGGCCTTGGGCCGTCTAGTGTAGACTTTCCAAGTAGTGGGCTTAGAAACACTTTGGTCTAAAATTGCATCAGATCCACTACAGTTGCAGCGAGCTACACAAATTCTCCCCCTTGAGGAGTGTTAGAAATAGTCTTTTATTCTGTTATGAGCTTCTTGTATTTTGTTAGTTTGCAGGTTAGCTTTAGGATTTATTTTATTTATTTCATTATGGCCTTGCTTCACAGCCCTCATCCTAACTGTATGTCTATTTTTTCGGATTTTTCTTCAGTAAATACAATATGCACTACCACCCTAGTTATTTGAAYGTGCAACCTTACAAAGCCTCCTTCCATTTGGGYCACATCAAAATCAAATCGACCACCTTGCTGACATCTTGAAGAAGCCCTTGTGCAAGATTGGTTTTGAACCTGATATGTTGCAACTGGCATGTGATCCACCTCGAAGAACTTTCTTAGATAAATCAATGCTTTATTAAGGTTTTGTTATGTTTGTGTCTTGAGACACACAAGTCCATCTATATATTCAGGGTATCTCTTTTTGAATGATAATACATATTCTTTTGACCCTAAACATCTAGAAAAAGAAGTTGGAAAATGTACTCTTACAGAGTTCTGCAGAAATTGGACTGCAAGGCCTTGTAGCTTGATATTTATATGAAGAGAATATTCAGAGTATAAGGGTACTTTGGTTAAGTGTTAAAAGTTCCATGCTTCTCCTAAGACATTTCTTTCCTCTTATATCATTTACCATTCATTCAGTTTAACATGCATTATATTATCTTCCAACTGCTAATTCAAGTTATTACAATAATTTCAGCTTCTGTCTCTTCAAGTTTCCACAGAAAAGTATTTCTTCAACATAAGAAAGAGCCTTGTAGAGTTTGATGAAGTGCTAGAGGTACATATTTTATAGTAAAAATCACCATGTACATTTTCTTTAATTTGTTCATCCTTTGATCTATGTTTCTTGGTTATGATTGTTTTCTTTTTCCTAGTTCAAGTTTGTATGTCAAATTGTGCTTAGAGTTGCTGTTGGAGTCTTGACCTGAAAATCAGTTTCTATATGAAGGAAGTATTATACTATATGAAGTGTTCTCAGATTCTCTTTTCATCAATGTTTATTGTTCTTTTTTCATTATTTGATTGTATTATTGCATTATTTTTTCAGATCAATCTGACATCTTAGCCTTTTATGGTTGTGTAACTGATTGCATACTTGGTTCCAGGTGCAAAGGAAGCATGTTTATGATCTTCGTCAGATAATTTTAACTRGYGATTCTGAGAGTTGTTCACATCACATTCTCCAGTGAGTGTCTTTTTTACTAAGATCACTCTTATAATATTACTATCAGTATGTTCTGTACTTAATTATTTGGACAGAAAAGTCCTTCCAATGAGAATTACTATCAGTAGGTTCGGATAGACTTAAAATGGTTTGGATGTCGTCAGATTAAACCTTCAGATTGGTGTAAAAATGAGAATTAATTAAAGAGGACGTCGATATGAGACATGTGGTTATGTAAATATAATGTTGGGGAAAAAGACAAGGATATCTGAATAATTATGATACAGCGAAAGACTTGTTTTTTTGATAGTAGAGAGTGGAAAGTGGCTGTTGGTGTTCCACTATTTCTGGATCGGTTCATTGCCTGAAATGTGGTGGTTTCATATCTTGGTGAACCCAACTATTTTTAGGATAAAACTCTTTTCTATTTTTCGCTTTTTATGCTAAATATTTAATACTTCAGATTCCTTTGGTCTCTTTTGGTAAGTCTAGCCAGCTTTTTTTTGGAAACTCTTATTTATCATGCTTGAACTGGTCTATAAAGACTACACACGATTAGTTTGTAAGCTCTGATCTATGTACATACTACCGAACAATATAGTTATTTTTAATAGCCTGTAACACTAAAAGGGCATGTGAGTAGTGTGGCTAAGTGCATTTATGGAACACTACAGAGATTATTATTCAACATACAGTGATCTGGCCCCTGATTGGATACCCAAATATATACAAGGATGAAAATGGTACAGAATCTTTTAAACTCGCATTGTATAAGTAAAACTGCATGTTGAGGTTCGAGCTTACTGCTGTGGCTGCATTTAACCATGTATTCTTATTTGTAGGTTGACATTAGAGGAATTTTGTGCACCAGTAGTTTATCTGAGAACAGGAAAATAAAAGCTAGGCATACTTTTCTTAAATCCATGCCATTTTCATGTACTCGTTTGCCGCCATCATGTTTTGGGATCGAACAGATTATAGGAAAAGATCGTAATTACTAAATTTGTTAGTAAACATTGATCAATCTGATAAGATCTGTTACTTTAGACACAAAGAATAGTCCTTTAGACAATCACCAATTACTATTGCATTGACAGCTCGTATACTTGTTTGTATTACATTTTCTAGAGTGAATTACAAATTGGGTCCTGTTTTTTATGTATTTTAACACTCTGGGTCCCTATTTTGAAATATCTATGGATTACAACCCTGTGGTTTGCATTTTTATAACGCATTGGGTCCCTAAATCTAACTCCGTTTGAAATCTGTCTGTTAAAGTGGTCATGTGCGCGGCAAACAATAGATAGTTTGGTCATTTTATGCATTTTTCTCATTTTACATTAAAAAATAAAAACAGCCAAAACAAACCCCAATATCATATTGCCATGTGTCCCTCTTCCCTCTCGTTGATTAAGAGGTTTTCCGGCAACCATTCCGGCATGCAATTTTCTTTTTTCTCTGCCTCATTCTTCAACCCAAACGACAATCAAAAACCTAAATTAATTCAAAAATTAAGAGATCAATCCTAAACATTAATCATTAACATCATCAACACAACACCAAAAATGCCTACTACAAACATATCTCCAATTGATTGCGGTTGTGGTTGTGGTGGCGGTTGACAACAATGGAGGAGATAGTTGTGGTTGATTTAGTGAAAATAGTGGTGGTGGTGGTTATGGTGGAGGTGAGGTGGCAATGGACGGTGGTGGTCGATGGTCGACGGTGGTTGTGGAGAAGGTTGTTGCAGTAGAGGAGTTGGAGGTGGCAATGGAGGGTGGTGGTCGGTGGCTGATGGTTGTAGAGGTGGCAATTGATAGTTGTTGTGGAGGAGGTTGTTGCGGTATAGGAGGAGTTGGAGGTGGCCAACAGTGGTAATGTTGGTGGTGGTCGGTGGCCGACGGTGGTTATAAAGGTGGCAATGGAGGATGGTAGTCAGTGGTTGTGGAGATGGTGAAGGAGGTGGTTGTAGTAGAGGAGCTGGAGGTGGCGAAAGGCGGTAGTGGTCGACTATGGTAGAGGTGGCGATGAACGGTGGTGGATAGTGGTTGTGGAGGAGGTGGAGGATGTTGTTGTAATGAAGAGGAGGTGGGCAGTAGCCGAAACTAGCGGTGATGACCATTAGAACAAATACCATATTAAGGTTATATATCAAACTAGGGTAAATTAGTAATATTTTAGTTATAGGTGGAACAAGAGAAAGCCTCTTTTGTGTCATGCTGTCCCACCTTATCTCAGTTCTTGTCCCTGTCCCATGTCAACCAAACGTGGGACAATGAGTTCTTGTTCTGTCCCGTGCTGCACCAAACATGGGACATTGAGGTTTGTCCCGTCCTGTCTTGTCCCGTCCCATGTACTAAACATAGCTAAATGTCTAATACAAACCCTAAATTGAAAAATCTAAATCAGGTCGACGACGATAGAAGAGCAGAACTAGAAGAAACCAGATTGAGCAGCAGATCTTCAAAAAACTAACCATGGCCACCATTTCTATCACTATCGGGCCGTTGAATCCATGTTTCTCAATCTCTGCGCTTCAAAGTCCACAAACAGGAGAAAGAATGGAGTAAAACGAGAGAAATGGGAGGATTTTCGCCAAAAAATGAGAAAGGAGGGTTTTCATCGGAAAACAGGAGAAAGTGGAGGGTTTCGCCGGAGAAAATGGACGGTCTCTTTCGCCGGAAAAATGGGGAGTGGGAGGGATTTGCCTTTCCTAGGCTTGCAGTTGTGGTGGTGTAGTTGCAGCGATGGAGGTGGGAAGGGGAAGAGGGCTCACTAAGAGGAGGGAGAAAAAGAAGTGGGCGAAGAAGAAGACCAAGGACAAGTGGGGGAATCGGTCTTTGTCGTTCGATCTGTGTTCGGCAGAGAAGGGAATGGTCCCTGTGTTTGCCGGAGATGAGAGGTTGGGGGGGTGTCCTGTATATGCCGGAGATGATAAGGGGGAATGGTTCCTGTGTCGCCAGATAGACATATACATATATTATATATATATATACTAGAAGGGTACTCGCGTAATACAACGAAATACATCTTGATTTTAATGTTTTGTTTTATTATCTGTCTCCATCGATGCTATAATACGGTTTTATGTGGGTTTGAGAAAATGATAATGTTTTTATTTTTGAATAAAATATACATTTTAAGATATCATAAAGTTTTTAAAAAAATATATATTGAAATTAGTATCAAATTAACTATTTATAAGTTCTCGTTCTTTTGTGTAATTTCTTTTWATTATAATTTAATTTAAGRTTAATWAYGAAGTAATTTATTTTTTATTGTTAAATATATTTTATAAAGATAATAATTAAGTATTCTATTAGAACTCAATAATTATCTTTGTTATATTTTAAATTTTTTATATTTAAAATGAAATGTTTATTCTTTATTTGAGTATGTTTATCTGCAGTTAGTTACAAGAATTCAAACATAAAGCTTTAATAAGTTGTACATACGTATAATTTACTTGTAATCTTGAATTCTAAGTAATATGCATCAATAAACAGTACTTTGTGCATGAAAAATGATTTTTTAGAGTTTTTGTCAAATGTTTTATAATATAGTATAGATATATATTATTATAATATGATCTATAGAGTAAATTACATGTTTGGTCCCTGTTGTTTTTAGTAGAAAATAAAAAAAGAAATAGAATGACGAAAATAACCCTGTACTTAACCTATTTAACATAAAAAATTTAATGGAGTTAAAATTAGGGACCCAATATGTTATAAAATGCAGTCACATGGATGTAATCCATAGATATTTCAGAATAGGGACCCGGGGTGTTAAACCACCGGGACTAAATTTGTAACTCACTCCATTTTTTATAATAGTGAAAAACATTTTGAAACAACTTTATCTACTCCTAGAGCCCAAAAAGGGAAGAAAGATGGAAAGAGAAATATAGTCCAAGTCTGATTGTTCAGTTGTATGATTTAAGTTCTTCCCAGATTCATTTTGCCTTCAACTATTTCATGATAAAAACTTGTTTCTAGAGTTGCCAGACATCTTCTACCTTGTAATACAACTTTACTAGTCTGTATATTTGTTTGTGGTTCAATTTAATCCTTCTTATGAATGTGCTCAGTATTATTAAATCAAAGACCATTGTAATTTTGATGTACCCATTACTTTTCAAGCCTCCAATATCAGGAACCAAGTTAACACCATGACTCATAGGCTGCTTGTAATAGGAACATAGAGTCTGTTTCTATTTCTTTTGTCCATAATACATCAAAATGTGCCATTGTATATATTATCATTTTATAGACCATAATTATCGCAACTTAATTGTCTGTCTGTGTTGTTATGTTAGTTTTGCCCTTGTTATCTGAATGTTGTGTGCATGGAATCAGGTACATGCAAGCAGTTGTAGATGAACTTGTTTTGGGAAATGTTGATCCGTTGAAGGTATTGAATCTCCTTACCCTAGTGCCTCGATTAAAATTCTTATCAGTTGCATCGATCTGATCTCTATGATCTATATGTTTTTCATAGCATCCAAGCAGCTGGAACTTAGACGAACTCTTAAAGGATTTCGTTGCAGTTTCTGGGAAGATATTGGATGGTGAGGTGTAGTTTCAGTCTCATCTTAACCTGGAACTTAGACAAAATCTTAATATGGACTAAATCATATMTGGGGTTTATCCAGAGTCATGTACAGGAATTACGGTGGAATCTTTGATGCGATCACTTGCTAATGTTAATGAATCAAGTGATAATGAATTGTGTCTTCCAAATTTACCTCAACCTCTGAATGCTTTTAGAGGTATACGTAAAAGGACTTCTTCATTGAAGCGCTGGCTAGCCATATGCTCGGATGATTCGCTCAAGTGCGTACACTAAAACATTAATTATTGACTCTCTTTCACTTTTCTATTTCTTAATTCGAATACAAGAGGTTTTTCTTATCGACTGCAGAGATGGAAGATATCGAGTTACTGCTAATCTTCTGCGCAAGTACCTTGGTGATTTATTAATCGCTTCATATACAAACACCATTCAAGAATCTGGTTATGCTGAAGAATATGTAAAAGAAATTGAGGTACTTTTTTTCTTAATGCTAATATTATAATTCTATTTCATATTTTTTACATGATATTTTTTTTTCTTGTCTTGACTCCAGAGAGCGGTTCTTGTGAAGTCCCTAGATTGTTTTTGGAGGGATCATCTTGTAAACATGAACAGACTAAATTCAGCGGTATGCTATTATCATAATCGGTTCATTTCAAGGTTTGCAATGGAAAAAATATTTCAAGTTACATGAGATTTTTAACCAGCATACTATATAAATTACCTATTGTATTTGCTAAAATGGAATCTGAACACTTTAATTGGTCATTTATTGCAACTTTGCTATTGAGTTGAAGGTTTTTTTTTTCTTTTTGTAACAAATAACAAAGTTTTTAATTAAGATTCACATGTGAATACTTTATCATGATAAATTTGTTAAATATCAAAGTTCATATTTGGGTGCAGGTGAATGTAAGGAGCTTTGGGCACAGGGATCCGCTGGAAGAATACAAAATAGATGGTTGTCGGTTTTTCATCTCGATGCTTAGCGCAACTCGGAGGTTGACTGTGGAATCACTTTTGAGGTACTGGTCATCTCCCATGGAGTCCCAAGAATTATATGCATCATAGAATTAAAAGATGATATGTATGAAAACTATAGATTCCTGTATTGGTCTTATGTTGCAATTTATTGTAGAATCAGGGTTTTATCATTTATAGACTTTAATTGTTTAAATCTTCTCAAACTAATGTGTTTGATGAAACAATCAATATACTATATACTATTTACTAATTACTATATATAGGACTATTATCAAATACTAAAWGGTTTGAGAATCTGATCTAATCATTTTAATCCAAATAATATAGTTAATTTTTATTAATTTTATGTATTATAATTTAGTTTTTACTCGTTTTCTTTCTAATATATATATATATATATATATATATATTATTTAATGGTAACGTATAGAAAAACATACCTCTTTATGTAATATATTTCATCTTTAAATAATAAAAACATCATATGAGAAAACAAAAATATTGTAAATATAAACAAGTTGTAATTAAAAACATCACCAGTAAACAACAAAGTTTTATTTCATGCAATGAAATAATATGACAAAGCTGATGTGAAACATTAAAGTGTTATTTCCTATTGTGAAACAATGTAATATGCTAATGTAAAACAATAAAGTACTGTTTTAGAATTTGAGAACCAAAAAAGAAAACAAAAGTTGACATGAAATGCGCCTTTATCATGTCAAGTTTCAAGCAACCGATTGGCTCCAAGGGACTTCAAGGAGAGCTGATTGCATCCCTTTGGTCTACCTAAACCACTTTCCTAAAATATGTTTTATTCATCAAATAGCGCTATTGGGTGATGGTCCCGTTTATAGGGTTAAATCAATGATGTGAAACACAACATTGCGTATGCGAAATAATAAGGTGTTATTTCACATGATGGAACAATATAGTGTTATTTCACATGATGAAACAATGTATATCGTTTCACAATGTGAAAATAAACCAAAACTGACGTGAAATGTGATGTGAAACACTAAAGTATTGTTTCACTTTACGAATTAAATCACTTTTATTGTTTCATATGAAAATTGGAAAATTTTAATGATAAAACAAATAACAAAAAATGTTAATACTAGTGTCAAATTAAAAAGAATAAAAATGCATTTTTTTTATATAATTTTTGATTTAAAATTTTACTGATTGATATTATTTTTTATTGATAAAGAAAATGATATTAATTTAAATCTAAACCATATAATTTCAATAAAAGATAGAAAGGAAAGAGATTTATGAGATATAAGTGTTTTCCCAATATAGTCAAAAAGAATATTAATCTTGTAGTTCTTAACCATTTGTGTTTTCCCAATAGAAGTAATCTTAAGGGGTAGTTTATCAATATTTTTAGTTAAGTGCTGATTCAGGTAAGATATCTGACTGTGGTAAGAGGTCTGACTGGAGTAAGTGCATATTGGATTTCTTGTTTACCAAACATTTTGTGTTAAGTGCTGATTGAGTAAAAAAGATCATTATATCTCTTTCTGGAGTAAATGTTAAATGAAAATTATTGTTTACCATAAGTATTGTATTAAGTGCCAACATTAAATGTTATTTATCAAAATTTTAAAATATAATTTTAAATTCTTTTTTGCTTACGAAAATATATTGATACTCAATATATTGACATATTACAAATTTTCATAATTTAGAACAAAAAGTCAAAATTTCTAAAAGCAAAATCACCACCAAAACAAAAAAGACCAAAATAAGGACCAACAAAGGAAACAACAACAAACAAAAAATCATTACAAGCCTTTAACATAATTGTTTGCGTACAAATAGTTCACTTGCAGATATTAATTTCAAGCATTCAACATTAATTGATTTGCAATCTGATCACACAAATCAGTCATATATTCACTGCCTTGGGGACCCCATTGTGTTTCTCCAACATCTTCCTCGATGCTTTCTTCCTCGATTCCTTCACTTTGTTCTTTGATGGTAAACATGTTTTCATCATACTCCATAAACAATCGATCTTGAATATTGCATCTCCTTATAAAATTGTGAATTGCGAAACAAGCAATCACCACATCTTTTTGTATTGTTAAAGGGTAATGAGTCATTTATCTTAAAATTGGAAATCTTGCTTTCAAGACCCTGTATGCACGCTCGATGACATTTCTAAGTTGTGCATGAACATGATTGAACCGTTCTTCCTTAGTCAAGGCACGTCGGCGTCGAAAACCAATACCTTGTATTGTGATAGGGGGTCATAAATCCACGAGTATTGGTATATGCGGCATCATAAAGATAGTATTTACCTGCAACCACAAAATACAATTTAAAAGTATAAAACATAACGAGGTTTAAATGTTAAGAAAAAAATGAAACATACTTGGTGGAGGAAACAGAACTCCTGAAGTTGGGTTACATGCAACTTCTGTCAGAACTCGAGAATCATGTGCAATGCCTTCCCATCCAGCCCAAACAAATGTGAATATCATATTAAAAACACAAACCGCTAAAACATTTTGATAGCATTCACCTCTTCCTCTTCCTTAGACCTAGCTTGTTGACTAACGAGCACAACTACATGTACCAAAGTTCCATCAAGCGCACCTATAGCCCCCTTTTTTATGAAATAGAAAACATTAGATAGTATTTATATATGTTAAGAATATTCAGTATATCAAGACAAAACATACCTGAAATGTTTCTTTGAGTCGTGTAAATCGCTTTGACGTGTTTGGGGTTCCATCAAAGGATGTTGACCCTACGACTTCTCTCGCAAATTCCATCATTCCTGTTAGTACTTCATGAAAACAATTATTAATGGTTCACGTCGAGTGTTAAAATCTCCATTTAATCATTCTAAAGCGTTCATTGTGACAATTATTGTCAAAAATATGGCCATTTTCTCTTCGATGCTCATATACCTACTTGAGTGCACCTAATTTTTTTCTTTAAAGTAATTGCATAATAATAGGTATGCATCACGTGACAAACGCATCAATTCATGACATTACATATTTGATCCACTTAACAATTCTTGTGTATACGCATGTCCGCTCAATGCTAAAGTGTTGTCTCTTATCCTTTCTATTCTTGACGAAGATTTTTTTTTCAAATACAAATAAACAACCACCATAATTAGAATTAACTTGTTCTTGTCCACAACCTTGCAATGCAAAACACATAACATTAACGCCAAGAGTCCATACAAAGACCAAAACATCTTCCAAAATTCAAATGAAAAGGACAACATCATCTTTAAAGATAACATTGATCATAACATTCATCGATAAAAGTTATATAAAAGCCAACAAACATCTTCCAAAGGCCAAACAACGACAAACATCTAATGCACATATAAACCATTTAAGGCTTCAAAAGAGCGCATCAAAGTATCTAATATTCATACAAACCATCTAAGGTTTCAAAAGTGTGCATCAAAAAGTTTAATATGCATATAAACCATCTAAGGTTTCATAAGAGCGCATAAAAATATCTTCTTCTAATGTCTAAACAAACATCGCAATAGTTATACACGCCCAAGTTGACGTCCCGTGAACTTAACCCAACCCTCACACTTATCCTCCTTCAAACACAACCAAAATTCTTATAGTCAGGGCCTAGACTAAAAAGATGAAGTGTTTCCTCATACAACGGGCTTCCCCACCCAAATTTCTCCAATTTTTCAATGCAAGCACCCACCTCAGATTCCATGGGTTGTTTGTCCAAAGCATTTTGCATAGAAGTGACAACCTTAGACACTTCCTCATCATTTACTGAACTACTTGGTTGAATTCTTTTTCGTTTTTTTCTCTGAGATTGAGAATGTGAAGAAGACTCTTGTACCAAAGGCAATGTTGAACTTTGTTGCTCGTGTGTTTCTTGTATTTGAGGAGCAACACGTGTGGATAATGTTTTGGAACTTTGTTGTTCTTGTGTTTGGGGAACAATGCATGTAGGATTAGGAACAAAAGAGGTCGGCTCCTAACTTCCAATGCCCGTGGAAGCAACTCCGTCAAAAAGTTGAACACAAAGATCTGGAAATGGTAGTGGTGCAATCCTCAACTTTTCAACATATTTATTGGACTGTTTACATAAAAGTTATGTGTAAATAAATAAATAAAACAACTTAAAAAAGGGAAAAAATAGAAAAATAAAGAATATGACCTTTGTTTCCATTTGCCATTCCTCTTCAGACAGCTTAAAAGAGTTTGTTGACGCATCATAGATATTTCTGGTTTTGTTTTTCAGTTTTGACCAAGCTCCATATTTGCCTTTGAGGTAGTCGTAATGGTTTTTCATTTGTCTTTGGTCCACAATAAAATTATGTGTCTTTTCTAACGTCTCAGCTATTTTCCTCCAAGAAATTGCCTTAAGGCTACCACCCTCTCGCCCATTTATAGATATCTCTCACAAACATGACTCTAGAAAAGTTTTTACCACATTGCAATCTTTCCAACTAAACCTAGCTCTCTTGGGTTGTGAAGATTCATCGAATTTTTTCCATACCTATAGAAATTAATTAAACATGCCTCAAACACATGGTTCAATTATCCAGTGTTCATGAAAAATTGCAAAGCATAACATAACATAAAAATCCTGGTCTAAGAAACTAGTCAGGTAACATAAACGAAAATGATCATAGGAAGACCAACATAAGATTTCTACATATAAACAATAGTTATATGCCAATTCATTAGGTTAGTCTTTTGGTACTTTTTTTTTCAAAGGACAGGGCATAATTCAAGTATTTTGGTATTTTGGATTCAAGTATTTATGATGTGTTTTATGGAAATCTATGTTATTTATTTAAACCTTGTTTTGTAAGTTTTAACTTGGTACTTTTGCATATAGATTGTATCTTCTTGGTTTGTTCCCCATACGACTCCTTATTAGATCCGCCAACATGTGTGACCAAGGTGAATAAAACCACTGGAGCCTCCTCTTCAGGCTCAGTGAAGACAGCTACTGATACTAAGCCATTAGTATCAAGTGTTGTAGTTCACACCACTGAAGCCTGTTCATTAGGCTCAATGAAGACACCCACTGACTCTATCTCTCTAGCGTTAGAGGTTGTTCCCATTTCCACTAAAACCTCTCTAGGTTTAGTGAAGCTGTCTGCTGATGCTGGTTCTTCAGTTTCAGTAGATGAAGCCTCTAACATTGCTGGACCCAAATAGATGGGTACCAAAAGCATTTTTAAACTGTTTCCTTGTGTAGGAAGTCAAAGGCATATGGTATCTCGATAGTGGATGCTCAAGGCACATGATCGGAGACAAATCCCTACTCATTAACTACAAGGAAGAAAGAGGACCTTTCGTGACCTTTGGAGGTAATGGAAAAGGATATAACAGAGGTTTTGGTATATTAACCAACAGCGCAACCACATTCAGGTGTGTTGCATACGTTGAAGGACTAAAGCACAACCTCCTCAGCATCAGTTGGCTGTGGGATAAAAACTACACATTGAAGTTCTCCAAGAATTCCTGCTATGTTTATGACAAAGATGATAAGGTTGCCTTGACCGCTTCTCATCTAGAGAATGTCTACATCATCGATATGGATTCTTCTATCACTGAGAATAGATGTTTCTTCTCTAAAGCCTCGTCAGACATCAACTGGCTGTGGCACAAACAACTTTCTCACCTTAACTTCAAGACACTCAGTGAATTGTCTAGAAATGATCTTCTCACTGGTCTTCTTCAACACTCCTTTGCAAAAGGAATCTCTTCGCTCAACATGTGAGAAAGGAAAACAAACAAGAGCAAGTTTTAAATCAAAGCAAATCTCTTCAGTGACATCACCTTTTCAGCTATTGCACATGGATCTCTTTGGTCCTGTGAATGTACAATCTATTGCTGGAAAGAAGTATACACTCGTCATTGTTGATAAGTATTCCAGGTACACTTGGGTCTTCTTTCTCAGATCCAAAAATGAAGCACCTGAAGAAATCATATCGTTCATCAAGAAAATAGAAGTACTTAACAACATTAAAGTACGATCTATTAGAAGTGACCATGGTACTAAATTCAAAAACAGTACTATGGATAATTTCTTTGAGGAGAAGGGAATTTCTCACAACTTTTCTTCAGTGAGAACTCCTCAGCAAAATGGGGTCGCTGAAAGAAGAAATCGAACAATCATTGAGGCTGCTCGATCAATGCTCAGCGAGTCCCATCTCCCTACAAACTTCTGGGCTGAAGCTGTCAACACCGCTTGTTTCACTCAAATTTGATCACTGATCGTTAAAAGGTTCAAGAAGACAGCCTACGAACTTTTCCATTGCAGAAATCCCTCTATTAGCTTTCTACATATTTTTGGTTGCACGTGTTATATTCTCAACAACCGTGATCAACTAGGAAAGTTCAATCCCAAAGCTGATGAAGGAATCTTTCTTGGATATTCTTCAGTATCCAAAGCCTTTAGAGTATTCAGCAAACACCGACAAATGATAGAAGAAACTATCCATGTCACTTTTGGTGAATCTCAATCAGCTAATTCAAAACCCATCTTAAATGATGAAGATGAATTAGAAACTGGATGTTCTCTTTTTATGGACAACTTGAAGCTTCCTTCAACGTTCCTCTCAACACTGAAGCCCTAGAAGCTGAAGATGAACAATTAATCATTCCAGTTGTAGCTAGTCACACCAATGTGTCTTCTTCAGAAATCGCTGTTGTGCCCATTATTGTGTTCCTTCTTCTGCTTCAAACACTAATCAATCAGTGAATGAAATGCCTTCAGCATCTGAACCTATTTCAGTCGCTGAAGGTAACACCCCATACCACACATTGCATGTAACACATACTTCATATACAAGAAATACATGTCTATACACCACATTGGTCTCTTAGTACAAGAATCTACCAGTACAGAATACATGATCCAAAAATTCAAAATACAATCCTTGCACTAATCCAGTTTCATCTATCAAAGCTATACATATTATCAGCCATTCTTCATGCAGATAAACATATAAGGAAATTATCACATTTTTCCTTTTCCCTTACCTTCTGCACTTCCTGCAATACATGTTTAAAATCACAAAATTAGGGTTAGACCAAAAGGTCTAATGAGTTACCCTATATATGTTATTGTAGGGTGAAAATCACCAAAACTTTTAAGTAAAACAACTTTTCATAAATATAACAAATATATGAACAAGTAAGAACAAATATAACCCTTATCTCATGGTATACCTCTCCTTAATATGCCACCCTTATCCCATGGTACACCTCTCCTTGATATGCCACCCTTATTTCCCCATCAAGATATTTTCACAAAACAATTCCATATAGAATAGACCGCAGTCAATGGAATTATTATCAGTTCAAATTCATTTTATCAAAAATTCCCATTTATTTAAAAGAATTAATAAAATAATAAATAAACACATAATCCGGTCAAACCTTGGCCGGATTACTAATCCAGACAACACCTCACATGGCTTGACCGATTTATCACTTACTTAAAGTCTCAAAACCTTGTCCGG